CCCGCTGTGCCCGTCCTGCCCCTTGCCCTGCCCCAGCACCTCGAAGACGGGCACCACGTCGGTGTGGGAGTTGAGGAGGACAGAGCGCAGGCGGGGATTCGTGCCCTGCCAGGTCAGGATCAGCACCACACGGCCCTGGTACACCTGTGGGGCAAGGACAGGACATCACTGGGGTCCCAGCAGGGGACAGAGGGGCTGGGACCAGAGCCTAAAAGCCTGCAAAAAGTTTCTTTATGCCACCTTCCAGGTCAACCCTTGGAGCCTGGGCGCGGTGTGAGCTCTTGGCTGCAATTCAGAGGATGGGAAATGAATCCAGTGTCTTCCCCCAGTGCCTGGGAGTCCCCTGGGACAGCCAGTGCCCAGCAGGAGGGATGTCCCTAATCAACGTCACCCTGCCAGGTCCTTGGCTAATCATAGCACAGGCAGCCGCAAAGGTCAGCGGGGACCAGCCTGAATACAGGGCTTAATGAAGGGCTCAGGGCAGCAGGGGATTACAGGCAGAGAAGATTCACTCCTGCCCAGTGCTGGGGCAGCAGCAGGGGGACAGCCCTGTCACTAAGAACCCGGGCAGAGATACACAGATAGAGGGATGGACGGACGGATGGATGGGTGGACAGATGGATGGACCAGGGGCTGCTCCTCGCCTCACTCACCTCCACTTTCTGGCAGGCCAAGCCCAGTTCAGTGCCAATGCGCTCCAGAAACCGGAGGGCCGCATCTGGGGAAGAGTGGGGATGATTGGAGTTACGTCGAGATTGCCCTCCCTTCTCACTGCAACCCCCCAGGGACCCCAAGGCTCTCTCGGGTTCCCAAGCTGAGGAAAGAGGTGACCAGAGGGGGGCAAGTGATGGAGGTCCTGGGCACAAGAGGTGCCCATAAGGAGAGACAAGAGCGACTTGCCATCGTCCCTTTGGGGCAAGGACTAGGGGAACATGAAAACTAAAAATTGAAGGGGGCAAGTTCAGGGGAGGTGGGCCCTCATAGGAGTTTTGGGAGCTCCTCATCAATAAAAAATCTCAATGTACTT